CTTGGATTGAGCACAGATTGTAGGGATTTGGTAGGTGGGGTTTAGGCTGCTGATTACTGGCTACCAATTACCACTACAAAATGTTCAAGATTTCACACATAAAAATTACTCTGAGACGTGTTAATAATAATATTCTATGCTGAAATAAAACACTGGCACATGGACAAGGACAAATCCAAAAGTAACAAACAAAACAAACCAACCCATCAAATACTGGAACTTTCTGAGGAAACGCGGCAAGCAGGACATCACCTGGGGTGAAATCACTGACTACTTGAAGAATTTTATACTTTAGGGCCTTAAATGTTTGTCCCTTTAGGACTTTTGTATTTTAAAATGTCACTGTGTCTAAGAAGTCAATCTGTTTCAAACTTGGGATTTGGGAGTGACACTGATGACTGAGAGGGAAGGAGGAAGAAAAGAGGCTGGCACATACACAGAGGGGGCAGGGCTCCTACAGGGAAGGGCAAGCTCCTGTGTGATTACACTAGACTCTTCTAGCTTAACATATGTATTAATTTCACACTAAATACATTGTTACTCTGACTTTTCCTTTTTTTTTTTTCCCCAGACACTGTATAAAATCTAGGGATAATGTAATGATAAAATATAATACTTCTTCCATCAGTAGATGAATGGATAAAGAAGATGTGGTATATATACACAATGGAATATTACTCAGCCATAAGAAAAAAACAGATCGTACCATTTGCAACAACATGGATGGAGCTAGAGGGTATTATGCTCAGTGAAATAAGCCAGGCAGAGAAAGACAAGTACCAAATGATTTCACTCATATGTGGAGCATAAGAACAAAGGAAAACTGAAGGAACAAAACAGCAGCAGAATCACAGAACCCAAGAATGGACTAATAGTTACCAAAGGGAAAGGGACTGGGGAGGATGGGTAGGAAGGGAGGGACAAGGGTGGGGAAAAAGAAAGGGGGCATTACGATTAGCATGTATAGTGGGGGGAGGGCACGGGGAGGGCTGTGCAACACAGAGCAGACAAGTAGTGATTTTACAGCATCTTACTACGCTGATGGACGGTGACTGTGAAGGGGTATGTGGGGGGGACTTGGTGAAGTGGGGAGACTAGTAAACATAATGTTCTTCATGTAAATGTAGATTAATGATACCAAAATAAAAAAATTAAAAAATATATATATATATATAATGCTTCTGGGGGAGCAGGCTGGGAGGGAGAGGACAGTATAAAGTATTCCAGAATATTATGATCCTGGTTGATAAAATCCTCATTAACGGTGATCAAAAGACATTTGTATATCTGTCAAGTTGGGTAAGTTTTAAATACAAAAAAACTCATCTGATTAAAGATCATAGATTAAACAAACATTTACACATATACTTCCTTCCCACAAAAATGAAGGGATAAACTTCTAAGACAGATTCATGAGACATGAAGAATGGGAGAAGAAACACATAACACACAAGAGATGCCCAATCCTAAAAGGTGGAAACAGCATAGACAGGGAGGAAGTGATCCAGTAGCCTGAAAGGAAGCAGAGAGGAATGAGCGCCACAGGCAGGAGCCGCTAGGAAGCCAGCCACTTTGAGGCACAGGGCCTAGGATGGGTGTCTCAGAAAGCAAGATGGGGTGGGAACCGGGCATGAGCTCAGAGTCTGCAAGGGGAGCTAGGACACAGCTCAGCCCAGGCTCAACCAGGACTGTTCCCTCAGAGGGATGGTCAGGACAAAAAGCTGTCAAAAATACCAGAAATGGACATAAAGTGTTAGATGATGAAACTGAAAGCCAGAGAAATTAGAACAGTAAGGCAGAGACAGAACACAGAACATGAGGAAAAAGGTGAAGCCAGAGGATCAATCCAGGAGGTACAATACTTACTTAATAGGAATGCAGAAAGAGCGAACCAAGAAGGGAAGGAAATTATCAAAGAAATAACACGTAACAGACCTACTGAACTGAGACATGAGTGTGAACAGATGGCAGGAGCTCACAAAGAAGCCAGCAATGAATGAAAAGACCTATCAGCTTGAGATTTCAGAACCCAGGGAAAATGTAAGATCTTCGGACCTTCCGGAGGAGGAACACAAACTAAGAACTGAATGTGAGAACAGCTGTCCTCCCCACTCAACACAAGAAGCTAGAGGACAAGTCAGAAGCCATGAAACCAAGACAGACAGAAAACAGAAAATTATTTAAAATCTAGAATTCTAGAGGAATTGGATTAAAAATGGCAGCATGAGAGGAGAGACAGAGGCTTCCTCCTAAAACTGGATACAATTAGAAAATATGGTTGGTGCAACTAATCCTGAGAGAGCAACAGGAAAGAGGACGGCGTCAGACTGCACACACATGGAGAAAAGAGCAGACCTCAGTGAACGGGGTAACGTACCAGAGCTGTGGCTCCACGGGACCCGAGCCCCTCCCCAACCCCAGCTCACCGGCAGAAGGAAGAGAAAAGGAGCAGGGAGGGAGTGGAAGGCTTGGGACTGCTGAATACCTAGCGCTGGAGATCTGCGCTGGGAGCACAAACCTACATTTCATGGTGCTTTCATGAGATTCGCATGACTACTGGGTTGGAAAGTTAATACAGGCCGAGTTCCTGGGGAGACTGGGATTCCGGCCGCTTGTGGAAAGTAGGGATCCATCCGGCTGCTCTGGGACAAAAGCTTATATCTGTGTGCTTGGCCCACTGGTTCAGGCAGTGGAGATAGGCATAGCAGCTGGGAAGAGGGGAACAGCTCTTACCTCCCACCAGGCACTAGTACCGCTCCCCTGCGACCCCCAACATTGCTTCAGGGGCTGAGCAGCTCCAGAATAGAGCTTCTGGACACCAGAAGGCGCCATATACAAATATGAAAAGCCAAAGGAACCTGGTCCAGAGTAAAATTAATATAACTCCAGAGAAAGACTTAAATGGCACGGACCTTACGACTCTTCCTGAAAGGGAATTCAAAATAAAAATCATCAGCATGCTAATGGAGGTACGGAAAGATATCCAAGAACTCAGGAATGAATTCAGGTCAGAAATCCAATCACTGAAGAACACGATGGAGGGTATTAAAAGCAGGTTGGATACAGTGGAGGAGATGATAAATGAAATAGAAACTAGAGAAGAATACAAATAAGCTGAGACACAAAGAGAAAAAAGGATCTCTAAGAATGAAAGAATATTGAGAGAACTGTGTGACCAACCCAAACGGAACAATACTCGCATTATAGGGATACCAGAAGAAGAGAGAGAGAAAGGGATAGAAAGTGTCTTTGAGGAGGTAGTTGCTGAAAACTTCCCCAATCAGGGGAAGGGGATAGTCTCTCAGGCCATGGAGATCCACAGATCTCCCAACACAAGGGACCCAAGGAAGACAACACCAAGACATATAGTAATAAAATTGGCAAAGATCAAGGATTAAGGACAGACTATTAAAAGCAGCCAGAGAGAGAAATAAGATCACATACAAAGGAAAGTCCATCAGGCTAACATCAGACTTCTCAGCAGAAAACTTACAGTCCAGAAGGGAGTGGCATGATGTATTTAATGCCATGAAGCAGAAGGGCCTAGAACCAAGATTACTTTATCTGGCAAGATTATCATTTGAATTTGAAGGAGGGATTAAACAATTTCCAGATAAGCAAAAGCTGAGAGAATTTACCTCCCACAAACCATCTCTACAGTCTATTTTGGAGGGACTGCTATAGATGGAAGTGTTCCTAAAATTGAATAGCTGTCACCAGAGGTAATAAAACCACAGTAAAGAAAGTAGAACAGCTAATTACTAAGCAAATGCAAAATTAAATTAACTATCCCCAAAGTCAATCAAGGGATAGACAAAAAGTACAGAATATGATATGTAATATATAAAGAAGGAAGGAGGAAGAAAAAGGAGGAGAAATAGAAAAGAACCTTTAGATTGTGTTTGTAACAGCATACTAAGTGAGTTATGTTAGACTCTTAGATAGTAAGGAAATTAACCTAGAACCTTTGGTAACCACGAATCTAAAGCCTGCAATGACAATAAGTACATACCTATCAATAATCACCCTAAATGTAAATGGACTGAATGCACCAATCAAAAGACATAGTAGAGTCACTGAATGGATAAAAAAACAAGACCCATCTATATGCTGCTTACAAGAGACTCACCTCAAACTCAAAGACATGCACAGACTAAAAGTCAAGGGATGGAAAAAGATATTCCATGCAAACAACAGGGAGAATAAAATCTAGAATTCTACCCAATCAGCAATTAAACACTCAATTAAACATGAGGATGGGATAAAGACATGTTCAGATAGATAAGATCTCAAGGTATTTACCTCCTGTGCACTGTTTCTCAGGAAACTACTGAAGAATGATGCATTCCATTAAATGAGGGCCCAGGCTAAGAAGGGTGAAGTCCTGGGAATCAGGAAACAGCATTCAACAGAAGGAAGAAGAAAATGGTGATGAGGAACCCGCAGGGATAACAGTTATGAAGCAAACCTGGAGAATAAATACCCCGACTGGAAAAGTTTGGATTGGAAAACTGGTTCAAGAAAATAAAAAGCAAATAAAAGCATGTGTTAATAATTCTAGAGAAAAGTTTTAGAGGAAATAACCATAGTGTACTTCCTAAGTATTAGAGAGCCTGATGTTGAAAACTGGGAAAGATAGATCAGTAAATAACACAAGTATCAGTGAAAGCTTGTTGTTCAGAAAGAGGAAACTGACAGAGGACTCAGGGATCAGGTCTGAGGAGGGGCGGAGCAGGGACATCTGTCTCGTATCATGTATGTTGTATAGCACCAGCATGACTTTGTAACCCAGGGACACATACTATTTGATAAAAAAAAATCAAACAAATCTTCCAAATGATTTCATTTTCTGTCCTTCATGTGGGGCTAAGGACTTTAACAAGGTATTACTGTGTGATACATTAAGAATAAAAAGTCAGGCTGAAACAAGCAGAGGTGGAAGAAATAGAACGAAAGAGACATAACAAAAAGCAAGCTGGTAAGGGATTTCTCAAACTCACCATCTCTCTGGCTATTTCCAGCGCTTCCTGCAGACCATAGAGCCTGCCACAGACCAGGTAGATTCCATTGGCCCAGAGAATACAGCCCTCGTGGACCCAAAATTCATTGCTGTCAAGAGGTAGTTCAGGGATTTGTAACTCCAGCTCGGGGCCACCTTCTGAAGTGGTGGGCGCGGAGGGCTTTGAGTCCAAAACTGTCTTTTCGCTGCTGCCCTCGGTGGTTGCTTTTTTACAAGGGAGCCCCCTGGACAAGGAGCGAGGGCCTCCGCCACAGTCTTCGGAGCGGTGCCGCCGCTTAAACCTGGGGTGGGCGGCCAGGCTCCTTTGCTCCTTCTGCTGCTCTTCCTCCTCCTCAGTGTCCGTCTTGGAGCCATTTGAAGCGCTTTTGTGACGCACCTTGACTTTGCTCTGGGTTTCCGTGGCCCTCTTGGGAGGCGGATTCTTCGGGAGAGTGGCTGCATAATCTTGGGGATAAAAGGGTCCGAAGAGGTCCCCCATGTTCCGGTAACTGGCCCACTTGCCACACAGACAGCAAACCAGGTGCCCCACAACAGAAGACTCTGTCACGACAGGGCCCTGCAGCATGAAGGACGACGCTGGGAGTGCCTTGCTTTCAGTGCTGCTGGGCGGAGGCGTCAGAGACCGTGGGCCCTTCCGACCCCTCACCAGTTTGGTCTGTTCTTCCTCCTCAGCATTGATGATTGTACAGACGGCTCCAAGTTCACACTTATTCACTACGTGGATATAAGGGAAGAAAGTTTTGTTCTTCGCGTCGGCTTTATCCAGTGGCTGGGTGGCATACTTCAGTTTGATCTCCGGTTCTTGAGGCTCTACAATCGGGACTGCTTGCTTGGTTTTCCGCTTCCTCGGCTGCGCCCCAGGCTTCCTTCTCTCCCTCCTTTGCCTCTGCTTTTTTGGTTTTGGCTCTCCATCTGCAGAACTTTCTGGTATCTGAGGGGGCTGAGGAGGTGGGGGAGGCGGCTGCTGTTGTTTCTTTTGCTTATTCACACTACCAATGGGTCTCCCCTTCTTCTTTCCGGATGGGAAATACCCCTTTGGGGGGAAACCTTCTTGTTTGGGGGAAATCATCACAGTATCATTCTCTTTCTCTTCAGCCTTGGGGTTTGCCTCAGGGGCCAACACACCTGCTGGAGGTACATTCTTTGAGTCAGGGAAGATTAGAGGTGCTGTCCCACCCAGGGAACCCTCTGGTCTCCCCTGATTATTCCCAGGCTTCTGTGAGGTCACGGATGTTGCAGCACCGGGGGGTTCCTTCCCAGCAGGGACTGTGTCTGGGTGTGCCTCAGTCTTCACTTTGTCATCCCCACTGCCACGCCACTCCTCTGAAGACCTTGCAAGGGGCTTTTCTACATTCAGCTCCTGGTTTGTCATACAGACCAGGTCAGGTATCACCTCACCTTTTCTCTTCTCCATCTCAGCATCCTGAACAGCAATGCTCCCCACCTCGGGAGGCCCACTCTTCAAAGCCAGTATGTCATCAAGAGTAACCGTGTCTCCCCCAGCTTCTGCACTGTTTGAGGACGCACTCCTCCTAATATTTGGGGACGTGATCTTCTGAACTATAGCTTCCAATTTCAATCCCCGTCCTTTTCTTGGGGGCAGTATTTTGGTCTTAGCAGGACTTGTGAGTGTAACAGCAGGGCAGTTTCTGCCATCCAGGCTGGGAAGGTCCTTGGCAGATTCTCTCTTAGGGAGAGACTTGATGTCCTGGCTGTGGGAAAGATGCGCATAGGAATTGAATGCTTTATCAGAGCCTTCTTTAGATGGATGAAGGAGGCGCCCTTTGTCTTCGGTGTTACTGTTCTTCACATCTTGTGACTGTCTCTTACTGGGAATGGGAGAGATAAAAGACCGGACACGCCTCCTCATGATTAAGGGATTTTGAGAAGAATGATCCTCTTGACCTGGAAGCCTTAGCATGACATTACTAGGTTTGGATGACTGTGTAGACTCAGCTAGTCCGTGTCCATCGGTCTCGTGGGGTGGTCCATACCTTTTTTGAGTAGACATTCCTGGAGGACCACTGCTTTTGGCTGGAGAAGTCTGCCGAGAGAGATCCCAGCAAGACTCTTGTTGTAACTTTTGGGAGCCGTGCTTCAATTCAATGCCTTTGTTAGACAGACCATCAGTAGGCAGGAGGCAGCGCCCACCTTCCTGACCACTGGGGTCATGGTAAGTCCCCATTGGCGGGCCATACATCATACCATCTTTGTCATTTTTCAGAGGGCTCCGTACTCTGTCAAGAAACTGCTGCTGCCTTGGGCTCTTCCGTGGTCCCTCCTGCCTATGCTGGGCAGCGGCGATGACTCCCTGAGCAGAACTGCCGCCCCAGTCTTTATACTCCTCCTGTTGCTGTTGGTATATCTGCCTCTTATAATGGAGCTGAGAATTCAAACCTGCACTGGGGTCCCCATAAGCATGAGCCCGAGCATTTGTGTGATAAGCAGAAGCCAGGCTTTCAGAGTTGGGAGAAAAGGGAGCATGTAAGGAGCTCCTGTTGGCCCTCTCTGAAAAGGCCATGTGTGGGTTCATGTGATGAGGGTCTCCCCCTGGGCCTCTGCTCCTCCCAGGAGACATCTTCAATTTTTCTGAGAAGTCATGATACTGTGAAGGGGATCGACCCCTCATACCCTCTCGACCAACTCTGCCAGGGACCCGCCGCATTGGCGTGGGTCTGCTGTCTTGTGGGCCATAGTCTGAGATGGAATCATGGGCTGCTGCTCCAGGGCTGGCATTGCCTCGGTAGGACTCATGCTTGATGCTAGTAGGATGGCAATGTTCTCCCGATTTCTTATTGTTGAAACTAGTTTGGGATTTGGATTGTTCAAAGTCTTCCTCTTTTATCTGCCCACTCTGAGATTTCAGTTTTGTTTCCATGGACACCAACCCACCTGGAAGAATGACCGACTGACTTAAACTTGGATTGAGACGTTCATTCCTCCCTAGTCTGGTGTCAGCACCCATGTGTCCCAGTGAGTGAGCCCCTGGGTCCCTGACAATATGTCTTAGTGGAGAAATATCACAAATCACGGATCTTCTTTCAGAGAGGGAACCCCCAGGCTCATGGGCTGATGACTGAGGATCTATTTCGAATTTTCTGGGAATTGGATAGTCAGCCAAATTGATTTGTTTCATTTCAGGAGCTGTGCTGCTTGGCTTCCTCTCCCAAGGGCCCCAGTGGGGGTTTTCTAACAGGGACCCAATGCTTTTGTTCAAAAGGCCCCTGCTGGCTAGTTCACTGGTTTGACTAACCAAGACATTAGGCCTAGTGGCTCCTTCTAAGCCAGCAGTCACGCCCTGATGCTCCTGAGCACCCCTGGAATACCTCCTGTCAGGGTGGTGGTGGTAGCCCTGGAGCACTTCCTGCAGTAGGCTGGGGAACTTCTCGTTTCTACCCTTCCGCTCCCCATGGCCAGTGAAATCCCCTTTATCCTGTCCTGTAGGATACTGCGGGAAGCCACTGACATTTCTCGGCATGGCTGACCCAAAACTATCTTTGTAACTGTAGCGCAGGCTCCCAGGAGACTTGCTAGACTCAGTTCTGCCTACAAAACTGGGGCCCACTGCAGAGTGCCCGCTCTGGCCATTTCCCTCTCCACTGTGGTTCGAGTTACTGTCTCCGCTCTTGCTTCCTTTGCTTCCTCCTCCAGGAGGCTCTGGCTGTGAAAGTGATGTGTGACTGGCTTCCTTCGCCCCACCAGTGCTGGGTGGCCTCTGAGTGGCTGCAGGATCATCCTCTTGGGAGCCTTTATCTTGTCCACCAGGCTTTTCTACCCGACTTGTCATGGCTTCCCGCGAGACAATCACCCCAACTGTCTTCTCATTGACTTTTGGGTTGCCCTCAGATGACAATGGCGTGTCCTTAGCACCTGGTGAGGTGGCCTCTTCTCTGGCTGCAGGACTGGCACTGAGTTTGGGGGCTTCATTCTGAGTGCCAGGTCCTGGTGAGGAGCCAGCCTTCTCTGAGGCTCCACCCTTGTAGGTGGTGTCGGAGCTGGTGCTCTGGCCACTTAACTGCCTCACTCTCTCGCCCTGATCCTCAGAACTGCTGGAGCAGCCTCCGTCCAGCGACTCTGCCATAGGGGACTTCAGCTGTTCTTCAGGCTGTGAGGAGCCTTCGGAGTTCGTGCAGCTGTCTGCTTTCTTAGAAGATGAGGAGGGCCTCTTGGAGGTCTTCTTCTGAGGTGTCAGGGCATCAGAAAGTAGCATGTGCTGGACAGTATTAGGGAGATTGGCCACTTGAGTACTCAGGGCACTCAAACTACTCAACCCAGGGTCCGTCAGCCGCTTTTCTGGCACTCCTTCCAGCCCAAACCCTTTGAAGCCTGCAGTATGAGAGTTAGGACTGGGCATCATTGACGGGGTTGGGCTGAGCTGAGGCATTAACTGTAAAATTCTGTTTCTGGAACCCATGGGTACACTGCCTTGCCCACACTGGAGATTCTCCCCACTCTGCATAAGAGGGGATGGGGTAGAGCTACAGCTTGGAGACTGAACCACAGAGGCGGCTGGAGAAGGGTTAGAAATGGGGCTGAAGTTCTGGTGAAACTGCATGGGGGACCTCACAGGGACCTCAGGCTGGCTGTACTGGCCCACCTGGCCTTGCAGGGGCAGCTTGGTGGCAGCATTGGTATATGGCATCACATGCTGAGGGGGATGCTGCTGCGGTGGCTGTGGTGGCTGTGGCTGTGCCTGGCCCTGCTGCGTCCCCTGCGGAATCTTTGCTTGCTCAAAGTTTTTCATAGACTGAGGCTGATAGCTGTAATTTGATTGTGTTCCATAAGCCTGTGCATTAGAACCTGCACTGTGTCCTTCATACTGGGATCCAGCATTTACACTGTAGCTGCCGTCGTAGCTCTGTCCAGACTGGCTGAAACGCTGTGGTGAAGGGAAGGAGGAGGAGGACGATGAGGAGGAGGCGGCAGAAGACTGGTAGTGCTGGCCAAACTGACCCACTCGTAGCTGGTAGCCCGCAGCAGAGGATGGCAGAGCCGAGGGCCGCTGCATCGGCTGCAGGTGGGCTGAGCCAGACGCTGGCTGGCCCGCAGGCGGCAGGGGCTGGTGGGCCTGGTAAAGCTGCTGCCTCAGCTGCTGCGCTTGCTGCTGCTGTTGGCTGGAAGCCTGCTGCTGGTATTGGGCGCTCCCTGGAGAGAAAGGCCCCGCGTAGTCCTGCTGATAATGAGACACGCCACCAAGGGTGGAGTGCTGTGCTTGAAACTGGCCCACATGACCCTCACTCCCGTACTGATTGCCAAAGCTGCTCCCCTGAGGGGGTCCATAGCTCTGCACGGGCCCAGAAGGCCTTCGCTGAGGAGGCTGTGGGGTTCCTGTTGCCACAGGGTCTTTGTTGCCTGCCATGTAGTAGAAGTCTCCAGCCTCTTTCCTAAAACCCTGGTAGCCCTGATGGCCAGAGGTCTCGCTAGCCATTGCTGCAGCCGCTGTCGTGCCTCGTCGCCCACTGCCACTGCCGCTGCCGCCGCCTGCACCCCCAAAATTCTGGAACATCTGGGCCTGGCGAGGGCTGAACTCTTCTATCCGGGATGAGCCGTGCGCCTCCTGGGGGTAGCTCTGCTGGTTCCCGTGGTAACTGCTCTGCTCCCGGAAGGACTGCATACTGTTCAGCAGCGCAGAAGCAGGCCAACAGCCCTCCTGGAGGTGGAGGAAGACAAAGAAGAACATCAGACGGGCATCTCCTCGGGACAAATGAATCAAGTCTGATGAGAGAGGGGATACGGTAAGTCAGTTGCCCAGATGGAGTTGATTGGTTTGAATTTCATCTCTCTTTATTTCTTATCCTAACCATTTTTTAAAAATGTAAACAAGCAGATAACCGGCCTAAAGAGTGAGGCAGGAGGTCTGAAAGAAACACTCTGGGTAAGTACAAATACAGTATAATGAGGGAAAATCTCATTATAAATGAGCCCCCCAAATTCAACTGGGTTATAGTATGAGGTGTATTATTACTACCAAAAAAAAAAAAAAAAAAGAAGAAAATAGCCATTTTTAAGAAAGTCTTCCAGTTATCGTAGGGAGAGAGAAAAAACTTTTTCCTTCATGTTTTAGATTGACCACTGAACTGAGCGTCTCCAATAATAATGAGGTGGCCACCCCACTGGCTGCCCCTGTCCCTGACTTTGAGAAGCAGAACTGGCCTGAGAACAGAAGTCAGTCCCTTACATGCAAATGTGTGTTACTGCAGGTTTACTGAAATTACCAACTACCTGTGATGACTGGAGCCCCCAGGACACTCAGCTCTTACCCCTGCACAGATCCTTACTGCTACAGCCACCCACACAAACTCAGGGGTTACCTCTTCCTGACACTTAATTGTCCAAGGCACTCCTCTCAGCACCCACCCTCAATTCCCAGGGACACAGGGCAAGGCAGCATAAGCCCATGTCACGGTGACTATTCTTCCAGCTATTTTTGGGATGTGTACTGGAAGTGCCAGCACCTCCAGCACCCATGTAACTTCTACCTGCCAGGCCAGTGCTCACAAACTTACTACTGGACGTTACTATGAACGAAGGAATTGAAACACTTTAGAAGACAGCAAAAGATACAGAGGAAAGAAATAACTCATCAAGCCCGGACCTAGACTCTTTGAAGCCATCTGAATTAGTCAAGAGTTCCATTACCTTTGCTGATGTAATTAGCATAGGATATACCTTTCCCCTTAAACAATTAATAGAGCTGATTTTATTTTGCTTTTTGCCTACCAGAGCCACAGATGAGTAAAACAAGGCCAAAATGCTCCAAATGACTTTGACTTTAAATCAGTTATTTAAAAAATAAGTCATGAAAACACATATGGGCTAGGATAAGTTGGGGCAAAGTTTTCTTACAATGGCTTCTGAAGCTAGTTTCTTAGTTCCCTTTCAGGGGAAGCTGAAATGGAGTGGCCAGCAGTAAAGTCTGTGGTCTTTTTAAAAGACATGTCAGGTTCCTTACCACCTGCACTGGCTCCCCATCTCATGCCAAGTGAAGCTGGGCTCGGAGGCCCGGCCTCCATCCCAACGATGACTCGTCTTGCTGTCTCCTAGCTCCCGCAGCAGGCCAAAGGCATGTCATGTCTACAGAGGAATTTTACCCTTGCCTGCGATGGTCCTCCTCCACAGCTACCTGACTCGCTCCTCTGACTTCCAAGGGCAGTGTCACGTGACCGGTAAGGCCGTCCCTGGTACCCTACTAACAGCTCATGCCACACCCTCACTGGCTCTCATGGCCTCCCTCCCCAATACTTACCCCAACAGACCCAGCTCTACTACTTGTGTTCTCCAACCCACTAGAATGTGACCTTCCTAAAGGGCAGAGACTGTGCCTTGCTGTAATCCTCAGGTGGTTAAAACAGTAAGAAGCACCCGACAGGCATGGTATGAACAAGTAGATGATACACGAACCAGGCCTTAGAGAACTAGGCTACACTGACTTACATGCTCAGAGGAGGCAGTGGGGGGTGAGGGAAGAATCAGAGGAAGAGAAAACAGTGCAACCGATCTAAAAGCAGAGCTGGAGGATGCGGAAGACCCTGTCTGTAACAGCTGCCAGGTGTGGTTCCAAGGGGAAAAGCCTCCTTGGGTCCACAGGAGAGCCCTGAAGAGACTGCAGACAGTCAACACCCATCAGGGCTGACGATGGTCAGTAGCTCCAAACTTTGAAAGCTTGACCCACTTCTTCCTGAGATACCTTAGGTCCAAACAGCTAGATGAGAGTCTGCTGCTTTGTACTGAGTCTGATTATGATATTAATCACCTGACCCAAATCATTTGAAGCATTCTAGTACAAATAATCTCCAAATCTAAAGGAAACTGCTTCCCATCCTCTTCAAATGACTACTATTTTCTGTTTTAATGAATCTGCTGTAGCACTTGATACCATACCAGCACCTCACATATATTTGTTCACCATTTCATCCTCACGACACAATATTCTCACTTACAGATGAGAAAACTGAAGCACAGGGTTCACAAGGCCCCTGAGCAGCAGGCCAGACTCAGCCTGGCAAGTCTGCCCCTCAGGCCACAGTCTTTTTTTTTAACAAACATTTCCCCTTTTATTTTTTATCTTTCAGAAATATTTAGATTTATATATTTTTAATCTGATATTTTCCCCTGTGTGTATTTTTATATTATTTCCAAGCTGAGAAAGTTCTCGTTATTCCATATAGGTCAAATACATGCATACTGAATCAGGCCACATTCTTAACAACTGTGCTACCCAGGGGGTCTGTGATGCGGCCGTGACAGCTGTCACTTGTCCTATCAGCAGTCAGCCTTGAGGGTGGGTAGCCACCAATGGTCCTTTTCAGCATGTCCCTTCTCTGCTGCCCTCTCGCAAGGACGTCCCCAACTACTTCAGGACTGCCAGGAACAACTCTGTCCCCACAGGTGTCCCCTGCTGGTGGTGTGCTAGCCTAGCTCTTAGCACTGGTGGCCCTTCACGGGATAAAAGGCGTCTGACAGGTTAAACAGAACAAAATGACTAACACTGGCAATTTAATGAAAAGCTTTCTTGAGAGATAATACCTTCATAAATACATGTTGTTTAATTAATCCTCTGTAAATAAAATCAGACTTCTGAAAATCTGTGTGTATAAACAAGGTTGTTTGAATGGATGCTCCTAAGAACTAAAGACGAGTCTGACATCAAGTCCCACCTCAGGCTGTCTGTTTCCTTCAGAAAAATCCTATCTCCAAAGAGAGGAACTGATTTGGGTACAATTCTTCTGAAGATCTGTTCTCAGCCCTTTTCTGGAGATTCCCTGTCCTGAATAATGCCCTTGTTTTCCCTACTGTAATAGTTCTGGCTTCTGGATTAGATGAAAAAACATTCACAGTCAGTTATGTCCTGCAGGGTACCAGTCAAACTAAATAGTATAAATAAAGTAGATCGTCACCAGAAAGGGAGTGCAATTAATTTTTCTTAGGAGCTCCCAGTAAAGCAATTAGGAAAACCAAGTACCTAGACCAGCAAATGAAAATGTAAACCCAGAGTACTTGTAATTTTAGCATTAGCATGTAAAATAAGCTGAGAGATCATTCCAAGATTTTAAAGGAGCAAAGCATCAGTGTAGTCAGTTATAAAGCACTGTGATCAGCGACAAATGCCTGATTTTACTTGTTTGAATGAACACAGATGTAAAGAAAATCTGACACTCCACAGGAAGTATGCCACCCATAAGGAACTTATCTACACACTCTGAAAAAGAAGTTCACCAGTGCACCTTCCTCCCAAGCTCTCCTCCTCCTTTCTTGGTTTTCTCTTATTTTCCTAGCTTTCTGAATGATTGCAGAAGGGCAATGGCACTTGCGAGGTCCACAGCTTAGTGCCTTTATGTCTGGTGGTCCAGAGTCCACATGCTGACCTCACTACAACCACTGCTTCCCGCTCTATTCCACCACAGGGCTGCCAACTTTGCCCCTTGCAGAAACCAACATTAGCTTTCTTTGTCCTTCCTTCACACATTCCAGTCCGTGTTCTCCACAAAGTTCTCCAAACCAACTTCAAGAGTTTCCTCAAGAGATCTTTTCAAGGACCTGCTTGCTTCCTCTTTCGTTTCATATTCATTTATTTTCTGCTTGTTCTCCTTCCTTGCCTTGAAAAACTGCTTCAGTTCTCATGACATCACACATCTCCTTATGCCCTGTCTGGTGGATTATTCTGTTTGCCCTCCAGCTCAATCCTCACCTCTCTCCACCCTATTCTATGCCCTGGGAGCGGGCACCGTAGGAACTATAAGAGGCTCTGGTGCCCCTCTGGCATCCGGCAGGTTTGGCAGCAAAGAGGCAGGAGGAGAGTGAGGAGGATTTTTACTCTCCTGGCTCCCACCCTGCAGTCACTGAGGCTGGCTGAGGCTCTACCAATGGCCACCTTCTGTTGGGCAACCTACACAGCCAGCTTCTCTAGGCTCCGGGAACTGCTTCCTCCTCTCACCTTTCAGGCCCGGGGTAGTAACAACTCCTGCTACTGCTAGCCTAAGAGATCCCACTCTTTCCACTGGACCCAACCCTGCTTGCCCCTTGTGTACAGCACCCATTCTGTACTGTGGTCAGCTCAGCAGCAACATGATCCCTCTCCTAGTTCTCCTCTGCAGATCAGAAACTGGGAGCTGTTTTCCAAAAGCCCTTTCCCAGCAGAGTTCTGGGTTAAAGTTTGCAAGAGAAGCAGTAGCACAAGAGAGATTTGAAAACAGAAGAAAAGGAGAGATTGGTCGTCCCAGAGACAGCTGCTGTAGACATGCATTCATACTGGCTTCCTGGGAGCTCACAGGGACCACTCACTGAGGAACTGCAGTCTGCAAGGATCAGGAACAACTTCCCTGACCTTCTCAATCCCAGTTCTTCCGATGGCTGGGGAAGCCCTTAAATCCTCTACCGAAACACTCCATACCAGGATTAGAAAGCTTCCCTTCCTGAAGGAACCCTGAATGACACAATTAAATGTTCCTCAAATCATTTATTTGAGTGTGCCCATCTGTTTCCTATCAGGACCCTAACTAATATAATTCTTCTTTCATTCCTAGGGTTTCAGAGTAGAATATTATCACTTGGGTGCTAAAAGACTTCTGTTTCATGTAGTATGGCACACCGGAGGGACTAAAAATCCTCCCCCAATGAAACACATAGAAATGTCAGATAAAATGCACAGCC